TTTTTTTTTTTTTTCAAAAAACAGCAATTTTCTTAGGGCTCTCACGCTACTAAACACACACATCAACTCGCTTATATCTCCGCTTTGCTGGTGGCATCATAAAAATATGCTCCAGCTCAAATACCAGCAATTTTAAAGTGGCTACCTTGGACACATGTGGTCTGAAGCAAACAGCAATGTTACAGCAACCCTCCAGAAAAACAGAGCTTTTCCTGCCTGCATCGTACAAAAGATAAGGAAAGGACTATGCATTAGGCGAGCTATGAACACACTTCATTTCTTTATCCCCCGCCTGTAACCGGCTGAAAAGGCGACGCTTGAGCGAGCTGGGTTCACTTGTTTTCTCCACATTAAAAAGCGAAGATTCATAAAGGAGTAATAAATAGCCCCCAAAGACTGAACAAGGCCATCAAGTATTTTGAGTGCCAACCTTACATCAGGTAAAATAATAGGCAGTAACATAGCACCAGAATAAAAATATAAAGTTTCCATTGTTTTTTATTTTCCTTGTGCGCTGTTTCACTGTATACATGCAACCAAATACTTTCGCATATTAAAAGAAAACTGTATATACATATAGACGATACATATTGAAAACAGTGATGTCATATAAAGATACTGCATTTTGTGAACTGTGTCAAAGAAATTACATCCACTTGGTAAATTCATTGTTCAGAAAATATTCTTATCACCACGTTGTTGCACATGTAAAGAAATCTCACACCCTCTAACCTCAAAGGAAAAAAATATGGGGGGAAAAAAAGCATTTGAACAAAATAGTTCATGGGTTCTTTTTATTATTATTATTTACAAGTCTTGCAAAACACCATTCGTGTATGAAATATACATTCAGATATTCTCAACAGCAAATTACCTTAAACGATAGAACACCGTATCCTTTGTAAACTGATATAGAATTTTAAATATTTTCCTTTTGTTTCCCCTTTTCTTTTTAAATTGCATTTTTTCACGCTTTGGTTCCTGCAGGGAAATATATATATTTATAGATATTTAAAATAACTCCAAACAACTCTCCATTCTTTGCATATGTCGACTGGGCAACAAAGTAGAGCTCGTGACATTTAAAGTAGACAACAGCAAAATTACCATATTTACATTGTTTGGCTTCTGATTTAACTCSTTCACTTGCCACTTTCTAAAGAACATGCGATTCAGTTATTTTAATGATCCGATGTTAGTGCACTGCACAACTCCAAGTTTCAATTAAGTGTTGTGTGGTATTTGCCAAACTGTCGTTCTCCACAGGTATTTCCTGAAGAAAGTTTGTGAGCCAGAAGCCAGAAGGTTAGTTTCCTTTATGTATTTGTTTCTCTTAAAACACTGAATTTCACACTTCTTTTTTGCCATTTTATTTTTAGCATTTATATATGATTTGTCTCCAAGAAAATGGCAACACATAGTCAGTTGTCATAAATAAAATGTGAGTTAATTAAAATTTCCTAAATCCTTACTTTTTTTTTTCCTGTGATTGTTTCTTTACGATATATGGCAAATTTATACCTGAAATTATTAAAGGTTTTTTTTTTCATTTTCTTCTCTTTCTCCTCTTTACCCATTCCTCACCACCCCTAACCCCAAGAAAACACGATTATATCCATCGCTACATCCATATTACAACTGCTCATGATTGGCCTCTTGTAGGTATGTCATTTTTCCTTCTTTAAACCTCTCTTCTCCCTCTTTCCTTGTCTTTTCAGACCAATGGTTAAGGGAGCACTGCCTCCAACGCAGGCATCTTCCTCTAGGAAGGACAAAAGATTATTCCCCAAAGTTTGCATTCTGCAGTGGTCCTCGTTACGTCAGCTCGCCATGGGAAATCTCCGCACACATGTTCCACAGCAAAACCGGCGAGGGGGATGGACAGGCAGCCAGACAGACAGACCCCCGGCTGGTCAGTGTGCACGGAGGTGCCGTCCCCACTCGTGACTCCCCAGAGATTTAGCAGGGTGACCGCAGTGCTCGGGAAGAGGTATGGGTTTTGCACCCAGAGGTGACGTGCACGTTACAAATGGATGCCATGTGTGTCAAAATCAAATCGATTCCAGTTGATATGTAAATACATACATATATATATAAAAAAAAAGTCATCATAGGTCCGGAGTAGATTTGCATTTATGTAAAACCTTGGATTCTTCTAGTCCCGTCAGATAAACACCTCCTTCCTCCATGTAACCCCGTGGCTTGACCTTGTCAAGGGCGAAATCTGAATTTAATCTCGTCTTGAAAAACGCTATGAGTTTTAAAGTAGTGGATTAGCAGAGTAATATTGTAATCGGTCCCTGTTAATTTTTTTTTCTTTCATTCTTCTATTTTGAAACCATATTTTCACTTGGCGGTCGGTCAGATTGAGCATTCGGGAGAGCTGCAGGCGTTTCTCTTTGTTTATGTAGACACTGAAGAAGAATTCCCTTTCCAGCTCTCTGATCTGGTATTTGGTATAGGGGCATCTCTTTTTGCGGGTGCGTTGTCCACCTGTGGAGCAGGGGTGGGGGGTGTAAATGCGGGGAAAAAAAAGGAAAAAAGAGGRGGGGGGGGRAAAGAAGTATTGGAGACCGCCAGAGCAGGAGGATTGGGGCGAAACGCGCCGCTTCGCAACATGCGCGTTTTGCGCGCTCCTCTCCGCGGCAGGCGCTGCAGGTTCCCAGCCGGGCGCCAACCCGAGCCCGCCCCGAGGCCGCGGGGAGCGGCGGGCCAGGCCCCGCCGGGGCTCCCGGAGCCGGCTCCCCTCGCTGCGCAGCGCGGAGCTCAGAACCCGCGCAGCACCGCGGAGACGGCGGCTGCCCGCGCGGCCGCTCCCGAGCCCTAGCGAATCCTTTGTGGCTGCTCCGCGGGGATTCCGCGCACTGCGGGCCGAGCGAGGCCGCGGCGCTACCTTCACCTGGTCCAGGCAGCGCGGGGCCGAGCGCAAGGGACGCGCTGCCCAGCGCAAGCTACTCGCTCCCCAGCGCTGACTTCCTCCACACCGGACCCGTGGGATTTCCTGCTCTTTCTCCCAGCCCGCCTGGCTATTCCTTGCCAGCAGAGAGAATTAAGCCACTAAGTCCGCTGCTAAGTCGCTGCGCTCACCCTCAGCCTGCGATTTTAGCCCACGCTCTCCGCGATATCAAGGTATTCTCCTCTCGATTAGCCATTACCATTTTAAAGTTCATTAAGCAGAATATAAAAGGTTTCAAGGTTCAGAAGCTCTTTACATTAAATATAGCCGCTTTCCCTTTAAAAGCTTCCTTTTTCTGGTGTAGTTCATTGTCGAGGTATTTTTTTTCCCCCGAGCTGTATACTAGCTTTGCCTTTTAAAAAGCCCACATAAAAAATCAGACTTTGACAGATTGAATAACAATTGTAAGTAACAAACTGTTGGACAGAAGGCAACACGTAATTGCCACAGTGCCTTAGTAAAATGGCTTCCTTTAGACAAAAAGGCCAGCTTTAGGTTAATTTGTTTCTTTTAATATATTGCTACAGTTCAGGCGGCTACTTTATCTGTTAAACACTATTCTAGTGCGACCGTTAAAACGGCGATGGCTTTGAATTCAGCTCCTAACTAGGCTCCTGGTGCAACACATGGCTTTTATAAAATCACTGGATTACACTGATATCAAAGGAACCGGGATCCCCCTTTTTGCCGAATTTACAGGCACCGAACGCACGTTATTATATTTTCGAGGGCTGACCACAGAGCTCTTTTTTACTATTATTAAAAAAAAAAAAAAAAAAAAGAGATTTTTTTTTTCTAAGGCATCCATTGCCCGGTGGGTATTTCACGGCCAATTTCAGCACTAAACACGTGATCTCGCCTTTTATAACAAAGTTTTGTTGGGGGAAATCTAAAGGCCCTTCATAAACCTTATATGCTTATAAAACAGCATATAAAAATTTAACAGCGGTGCTGTGCTAGATCGCAACCTCCCTTTCCTAAAGCGCTCGGGCGCTGCCTTTATACGTACTGGAGCTGCCGGATTTCTCCTCATTGTTGCCGGAAGATGACTCGGGGCTGCTGCTGCTCTCCGGCCGCCTCCGCCTCTCCTTCTCGGCGCCCGCCGCCGCCGCCGCCGCCCGGCCGCAGCCGCCCTCCGAACTTGAAGTTGCCGCCGTGGCCCCGGCGGGCGCCTTCTCGCCACTCTTGTCCGCCGCATAGTCCGTCGCGGCCGGCGTCTCCGTGGTGCCATAAGCCGTCTCGAAAAACTGGTCGAAAGCCTGCGGCAGGACCCCGTTCCTGCCCACCGTGCTATAGAAATTGGAGGAGACGTTGGTGCTGGGGTGGTAGACGTTAGCTGTGTTTTTGCCGAACATCTCGCCCATGCTAGCAGTGTTGGTGGAAGGCAAGCAGTCTCTGTGCATGATCTCCTCTGCGGAGTAGCAGTGGGGCAGATTGTTCCTGGGGTGCCATTTACTCGAGGGATCAATGGCATATTCCCTGAAGGTAACTTCTCTCACAGGTTGGACCTGGGGTAGGTTGGAAGAGTAGGAGTATGTCATAGGGCGAGAAGACGGGGTCTGGGGCAAAAAAGAAGGGAGGCTGGAAAAATCAGGACCCGAGACGTAGTAAGTACAACTTGGCAAATACATGTTAGAGGAACAAGGAACACGCTCATCAAAATCCATCATTAGGGCTACCTCGGGCTCTCCGCATTAGCCGAGCTTAACATGATTCTCTAACGCAGCTGCCTCTTTGAAGCGGATCCGTGAAGTAAGAAATTTGGAGACGTAGGCTGACGTGGAGAGCTATCCCCATCCTTAGCAGGGAGGTGCTGYCCACGTGACGCCGCGCCGCAGTTGACAAGCTGCGCGCACGGGCCCTCCGCTCTTTGTAGCCATCTCAGGGGAAGCAACAGATCGTCACTTCGCTAGTCCTCCCCCCCCAAAAAAGCACGCCAGGCTCCTACGCCCCCTCCCCGCTTCGCCTCGGGTCCCCTTAGTGGCCAGCGAGGCACTCGCCTCCTCGCCACACTTGGACGCCCGGCCCCTTGCAGCCGGGCGCTCTGGAGTAGAGAGAATTAGAAATTCCCACAGTGTTAGGTGAGACCTTTTCCTTGTTTGCTTGCTCGCTCGTGTGTGTGTGTGTGTGCGTGTGTTTGCTCGCTGGCATACTCCAAAAGGAGGAGGATTTAGGTAACAGTTTGTTCCAAGAGCCGCTTCCGAGCAAGAAACCTTCCTTAAGAAATCACTCTTTTTTCTTCTTCTTTTTTTTTTCTTCTTTTTTTTTCCTTTCTTTTTTTTTCTTTCTTTTTTTTTTTTTTTTTTCC